TGGGGGTGGTCGAAGATCGGTGCAGTGCACCGGACGTGATGACGTTCTTGAGCCAAACCAAACCCAGCATGGACGTGCTGTCACGCCAAGTGGCAAATTTCCTCAAAAAGTCGAAGCACAAACTCGATAAAGCGCAGACTTTCTTACTGGAGCTTGGCTCTGCACTTGTGCGGCCGCTGAAGCACCGTGGTCTCCCTGTCGTTCAGTGAACCCTGGAAAAGGCGACATGGTTTCATCTTGAAGAGAATAGAGGTAGAATATATCAAAAAGATTAAATTACGTGGCTAAGTCGAAGTTGATTAGCTTGTACAATATTATTGTGCTTTCTATTGACCTTTTTGTTGAAAATTGGACTTTCGGTGGAATCGTTACGAACAAAACACTTCTTTTCGACAACTGACGCAACCAATCAAATAACTCGTAGCACACATCCATTTTGCCATGCCATCCTTCACCGGCACTCAATCACTTCTCCAAGCTGTTGTGCGGGACCACGCCTCCGAGAACACGAAGTATCACTGCCTTTTCGGCTATTACATGCTAGGCCTTTCCAAATCGTACCTTGCCTTGCTCTACTCGAAACACAAAAGTACAATTGCTGCCTCGATAGCCAAGTATGAGACTGATGGCACTGTTGTCCGCCAAGACGCACAGCTCAATCTATACCGACGTTTCGACTCCTCCAAACGAGAATGGGTGTTGCAATTGTACGATGCGGAGCCAGTACGTTGAACCATGCAATTCTCGAAGCCTAGTTTTGAGCGCAAGCAAACTCGCCATTCATGAAGCAACTGAACGGTCCGATTCGCTGGGTTCGAGTAAAGTTTTCACAACCAGAAGCCATTCCGCCTTTGATGCCACGTTGTTTGAATAGCAATGAATGAACAACAGAACGTCCTTGCCCATCCATCGCTGGAGCATTTGGGTTGTGAGACTGTTGCTGTCCTGCGTTTTCTTGTTCGGAGGGTAGAGCAGAACAAAGCGACCAATATCACTCGTTGACGGCGCCGTGACTGGAGACCAATCCGGCCTGCGCGGAGATTGTGGTTCCGTCGCTGGGTGGAAAACGACTTCACGTTTTACGTGGACCATGGCAATTCGACAGATGCAGTCCACCACATCATCAACACACGAGGCTTGGACGGACACAGTGTCAAGGGAAAAGCCAGAGGACTGGCCTCGAAAGTTGCGGGCACTTGGAACAAGCCGGAAGTTGAACAAGTGGCCAATACCCACAAGAGCTTCGAGATCGTTGTCGTCGGCGCTTGTCATGAGTGTGCTCTGTGTGCACTGCAACTTTCGTGGTTGTGGCTGTTTGGTTTCGAAACACGTAAGGAACACGTGGATTCGTTTCACTTGATGATTG